GTATTGCAGTCTACTTTCTGTTCCTGGTGAGATTGAAGTGTGTCCCAGCTTTATCACATACAAACAGAAGACACATTTTGGGCTGGAAATTGAACATTTCCTCAGCAAAGTATCTGATATTGCCAAATTCCTCCAATGTAGAAGAGTACTTACAGAAAGCTTCTTACAGTACAGCCTATCTTACTAAAGGTGCATTTACCAGCTCTTTATCACTTGTGTTCAGCTACACACTCTCTCTAATCTATTATGTTTAACTTCCAATAACTCTAATATAAACACTTCCTTTGCTATTTCCACCCACTGAAATATGAAATAGAAGCATATATTCTGAATTTGAAAAGAGGAAATTGACACCTGAGACAGAAAGTTAGTGTAGCCCCTGTTACACCCTTAATGGCCGCAAGAGGCAGAAGGGCCAGCATGAACACATAAACAACTCAGGTTATCACACTGGATTAGTTTAACTCTGATTGTCCCCGTTACTTTAACCCTTTCACTGCTCTGTCCTCACCTGCGGATTGTTTGTGTAAAGATGTTTTTTTAATAAAGTGTAGGTGCAAACCACATTGGCCTGACGTGTGTGGGTAAACCAGCTGAAGGCCTAAAGGGAGCACAGCCACAAGCAAAGGTGAACATGATTGTAATGTTCACAACCATATTATGAAAGAAGTTGTCCTTAGGGCTGCCACATTGTTCTTGTTGCATTTGGTTGTTATTTCTATACACAAATACTCAAAAGAAACATACAAGTCAAGTCAATTTAAATCAAACTAAGCTTAGTCTAGCTTAACTCAAATACAGTGTCTTGGTTTATGTGCAAAACTGCCATTGTGAAAGGCCTGTGTTGTGTTGGCTTTCATGCTCTTTGGAGTTTTATCTTTTGGTAATGTTTTAAAATACAACTGAATTTAAATATCGGCTTAAAGGCTAAAAAGTAAACCATGGAAATATATTGGTTTTCACATTTGACAGAACACAGGCTTCAATTTGCCTTTTTGAGTGCCCTGGATCCTCTTATCCCCCACACACCAAAAATCATTTTGAACTATTTCCAACCAAGTGTATAACTGATTAACTGAAAACAGCAAAGGCAGTCAAATAATAACATACTTCACTCAATCCAAACAGCAGCATGTCGTCACTGAGTGTGCACAGAAGGGTCTTGTTTTCTGATCTGCATTCATTTGGTTCATCCGGTCTGTCATTGTGACATCTCTCTCCCCGGGGTTCACAGCGAGTTCCCCGGCCCTGCGCTTCTTTGTGTGTGTGTGTGTGTGTGTGTGTGTGTGTGTGTGTGTGTGTGTGTGTGTGTGTGTGTGTGTGTGTGTGTGTGTGTGTTCAACTCAAAAGGGAAGAAACATTACATTGATCCAAACTCCCCTGAGACGTTTGTAATATTGACTGAAAATAAACTGTTCAATCACACATGAGTGATCTCTCACGAGGGAAATGTAATATGCAAATGTGTATTTATGTGTTCATTCTTGTTTATTACCATGCATACATAATAAGCTACATCTGTTTATTTTGGTTAACAATTAAATTAAAACCTTGATTGAGGGAGGAAGTCAGGGGTCTTTTCTCTTGGGGGATTTTAACAGAGAACACACTGGAAGAATAACCATACTGTTGACATAGCATGTAAATGTTTGCATGCATGACCCCACTCTAAATCAACCATCATTATTGGTCTGACCTGTGACCAAATCAGCTTTTCCACGTGGCCTCCTCTTCGACTTCGTTTGACCTTTAGGTGATCAGTGTTGCATGTGACTTGGTGATGATGAGGGAACAACAATATTCTTGTTTTGTGTTTCAGTAGGAATATGTATGTTCAAGTTGTTTACATTGCTAACAAACCACTTTATATTCACACCACAGAGCATCTTTCAAATGTTAGAGTCAACCAGAAATACAGACTATTTACTAACAGTAGTAAATGCAGAATGGTAAAAATACTTACAGACAATACTTGTATTTAACTGGCTAGATAACTTAAAGAACTGAAGAACTATTTTCAAGATGTACCAAAAAGTGTGAAAACTAAACATTCTCTTCAGATCTTAAATATTATTTATATTGCTGAATTATTAATACTGATGCATTAACATGTAAGCGGCTTTTTAGTAGTGTAGCAATTTGATGAGAAACAACGGTTAACTACTGGTATAGCATTGGGTAATCATCTATTTTAATAAACATTGTGCCATAACTGAATGTTATTGTTTTCGAATAAAACGTACTGTGGTGGAGTAGAAGTATAAAATAGGAGAAACATGATATTTAAGTAAAGCACAAGTACCTCAGAATTGTCTAAAGAACATTACTGGAATATATAGCTATCTTACAAACAAACAAATACATTTTGGCAAACAAGCGACAAGTTGTTTTTGTCACACTTTCAGCTACGTTGCCTTTGCAAACACAGAGACAAATTTAGATTTAAATTTCCTCATTTACCGAGTCTTACAAGCAGGTTACATTACAATACTGTATGTACTGTACTGTATGTGCTCCTACGTGACAAAGAACAAGATTTTATAGTTACATTTATTGAAATGTAGTGAAATCAACAGGCACTTCAAAATCAGTAGAATATACTGTATGCCTCCCAATCCACACCAACTGAAATGCTCTGCACTCAACAAGGTCCATATAAAGCTGTGTGTCGGCCTGACCTCCCCCCCCCNAGCCTACACCGGAACTGTCCTGAGAGTGCAGGCCTGCAGGCAGACCCCTCTCCGTTAAATGAGCCGAGTGCGTGTGAACGGAAGACTTTTTTGAAAACGAATTCGGTCCGTTTGCGCTCCCGTGTAAATGGGGTCTTAGTGCACACTCAGTGGAAAGCCCTATTTGACTACTGTTGCAATCCATATTATGGCAAGAACCAGTCAACTCAGTAAAGAGAAACGACCATCCATCATTACTTTAAGAAATGAAGGCCAGTCGATCCGGAAAATGTCAAGAACTTTAAATGTATCCTCAAGTGCAGTTGCAAAAACCATCAAACGCTATGATGAAACTGGCTCTCATGAGGACCCCCCGGGAAAGGAAGAGCAAGAGTTACCTCTGCTGCAGAGGATAAATACATCAGAGTTACGAGCCTCAGAAAGCACACATTAAAGCACGTCAGCCTAGAGCCCATAAATGATCACAGAGCTGAAGTAGCAGACAATCTCAACATCCACTGTTCAGAGGAGACTGCGTGAATCAGGCCTTCATGGTCCAATTGCTGCAAAGGTCCACTACTGAGGATGAACAACAAGAAGAAGAGAATTGTTTGGGCCAAGAAACAAAAGGATTGGACATTAGACAGTGGAAATCTGTACTTTGGTCTGATGAGTCCAA